TAGTCCCTCCTTAAACATGAAGGTCGACTGGATGAATTTGGACAATCGCTGGGAGTGGTTGGGAGTTCTAGTTCTGCCTTAGGCACGAAGGCCAGCCGGGTGACTTTGGGCCTGGCCCTTTCACTCAGTCCAACCCACCTCCCAGGATTGTCGTGGGGAAAATAGGAGGAAGCAGTGTGGGGACATGTTTGCCGCCTTGAGTTATTTGTAAAAAAAAAAAATAATAAATACAGGCAAGATACAAATAAATAATAATTAAATGGGGAAGAGGAAGGTTGCATCGCAAAGCGCAGATGGAGCTGAGGTAAAAGTGGGGATGAACTCAGATGAAAACGGTTGGATTTTGCTTTGTATTCCGGTTCAGCAACAGAGGCGGATAAGATCGCAATCGCGATGTCCTTTAAAAAAAAATGCGCAGCTTTAAAATTACAATTTGGCTATCTTATTTCTGCTCAGGTTTATTTATTTATTTTCCAAACTCCTTGCTATCCCCCCAAACCCCTCCACAGCGTTTATCAGATAGGCTGGGAGCAGGATATTAAATCCCTCGCTTAAATTTTAATTTCAAAGACTTCCTGCTGCCTCCAGAAGACGCTTCCCGCCTGCAGTCACAACACGTATTTTCTGTCTCTCTCTGCAGCGTCCCTGATCTTCATCATCTGGACTACAAAGACCTTCCATCTTGCCACCTGCCAATCTGTGAGTAAACAGGCTGGCAGCCTTTCTGTTCTTCTTTTAGACCGGAGGTCTCCAACCTTGGCCACTTTGAAGACGTGCGGACTTCAACTCCCAGAATCCCCCAGCAAGAACATAGCTTACTCTCTTGCAATCCCTTCCTCTTCAATCTCTCCTCTTTGGGGGAGAGGAGAAAATGAAACAGACACGGCTGGCTGAGGAGGTGAAGTCCACAAGTCTTAAAGTGGCCAACTTTGGAGAACCTCTGTTTTAGACCCACTAATTTTTCTAAAAATGACAAGTTGACCCCTTGCACCTCTGAAATTATTCCTGCCCTGAGAATACTGCCAACAATTTTGGTCACCAGACTACAAAAAAGATGTTGAGACTTTGGAGAAAGTGCAGCTAAGGTGATCAAAACCTGGAGGCTTAAACATAGGAAGAACGTTTGGCTAGTCTAAAGAAAATAAGAATTAGGGGTGACATGATAGCGGGATTCCAGTGTTGGAGGAGCTGCCACAAAGACGTGGGAGTCGACTTATTTCCCAAAGCACCAAAGAAGGCAGGACAAGAAATCAACGGATGGAAACTAACCAAGGAGAAAAGCAAACTGGAATTAAGGAGAAACTTCCTCACAGTGAAGACAATTAACCAGGGGAACAGCTGGCCACTAGAAACTGTGGGTGCGCCATCACTGGAGGCTTTTAAAAATAGCCTAGACAGCCATTTGTCTGAAATGATATACGGTAGTATAGGTTCTGCTTGAACAGAGCAGAACCACTTAGAGGAGGGAACAGAAGGGGAACTTACCAAATTTGCAGGTGATACTAAGCTGGCAGGAATAGCTAACACCCAAGAAGAAGATCAGCTCAAGGTCCAGAGGGATCTTGACAGACTAGAACCCTGGGCCGTATCTAACAAAATGAAATTCAATGTAGAGAAAAGTCAAGTCCTGCACTTAGGCAAGAAAAACCCAAAGGACCCATATATAGACTGGGTGAAACCAGGCACAATAGCAGGAACTGGGAGAGGGATCTTGGCGTCTCAGTGGACAACCAGATAAATAGGAGTCAGCCATGTGCAGTAGCAGCCAAAAAAGCTTATGCCATCCTAAGTTGCATTAACAGAGGGATACAATCAAGATCAAGGGAGGGACTAATACCACCACTCTATCAAGCCTTAGTAACGCCACACCTAGAGTCCTGCATCCAGTTTTGGTCACCACACTATAAAAAAAGATGTTCAGAGGGCTGGACTAGAAGACCTCCAAGATCCCTTCCAACTATTCTATTCTAGTTTTTGTGGTTTTAGAAAGAAAATTCATACAGGTAGTCCTCACCTTACGACCCCAGTCGAGCCCAAACTTCCTGTGTCTGAGCGAGAGAGTTGTTAAGTTGTCCCCGTTTCACAAACTTTCCTGGCCACTAAGTGAATCCCGGCAGTTAAAGTTAGTCAACACGGTCATGAAACGAATCTCGCTCCCCCCCCATTGACTTGACTCATCCGAAGATCGCCAAAGGGGATCCCATAATAACCCCGGGGTACTGCAACCGTCATAAGTACGAATCAGTTGCCAAAGTCTCTGGATTTTGATATATCTTAGATATATCTTAGATATATGAATAATAAAATATATAATTCATTAAAAATATTACCCTACCACATGGTTATATCTATTCCCTGTCAGACTCCACATAAGATTTCTTTTCATACCTTAACTATTAATCTCTTACATCTTACATAAACATTTCTATCTTACTTAAATGAATCTGTTATAAATTCTTATTTTCATGACTATTACATTCACATTATTCCTTCTTGTTCTTAATCCCAATTCTTCAGTGTCTAATGCCCTTGTCATTTTGAGCAGTGAGTAAACCAGGAGTTGTTAAGTTGAGGTCTGCCTGGGGCTTCTCGGCTTCCTTGCACAAGTGACGCTTCCTCTTCCTTCTCTCTCAGGACTGGCGGGAACTCTGGATCGACGACGCTTTCTGGCGGTTCCTCTTTTCCATCATCCTGCTGGTGATCATGTTCCTCTGGAGACCCTCTGCCAATAATCAAAGGTATCAAAGGAACTCAAACCCAGGCCACATCTCTCTCTCTCTCTCTCTTTCCCACCCCCTGTTCTGACCCAAACCTTGTCCCAAGGAAACAAACACAAAATGGAGGTAACAGCAAAACCTTTTAATGATTCTTTACGAATTTCGTTCCTTCCCGGTTAAAAGGCTGTTTTAAACTAATTGTCTCTGATAAGAACGAGCCTTGCTAAGGTGGTGCAAGGTTGCCAAGAACACTAGAGAAAGTTACTAAGAAATATTTCAAACACAAAGAGTCTCCAAACACCAACCAAGATAGTCCGAACGTCCACGAGGCTTGAGTGCAAAAGCTTCTTTGCTTCCTGCAAAGAACTCCAATTTCTCAGCTGGCTTTTATCTCTTAAGGGAGGGGCCATCATCTTGCAGCCTTACTCCCGAGTCGCCTGTGCTGCTGCAGCTGCTCTTTCCTTTGAGCAGCCCTGCGCGCTCATGCCCTGGGCACAGGCTCCTCGGGATGCTCTTCCTCACTGCTGCCAGCCTCCACCGTCTCCAAAGGCAGCACTCCACTCCCTGAGGGTCCTGGCCCCGTCCCTGCATCGCACGCAGGGCCCTCATCGGAGTCCTTGCTCTCCGAGGCCTCAGCCAGGTCCCTCACCTGCTGCCGGCGAGCCACAACAGCATCCCTTGCCCGCTGGGCTTCTACGTTCTCATTCTCCTCTCAAGGGAAGAAGAAGAAGAAGAAGAAGAAGAAAAAGAGCAACTTCCTCCTTGAGAGGAGATGGGAGCGTCCCCTTCAAGCGAGGGGGAGAGGGCGGGTTTCCCACGGGTGAGACCCCGGCCCCATCTCACGCCCCCCCACCCCCCTTCCTGCCCCCCACAGATACGCCTTCATGCCTCTGGTGGACGAGGGCAGCGAGCAGGAGGAAGAGGAAGAGGAGCAGGTGGTCAACGAAGTCTTCGGTAAGCCTCGGCTGGCGGTCTCCTCTGCCCCAGGACCCCGGACTCCGGTCCCTGAACCCCCAGACTGGCAATCTGGCCTGGCCTGCCTTTCCTCAAGCGGTCGGTGTGCGCTTGCACGCCTGTAAGTGTGCCCCCTTGC